CCCCCACCCCGCGGGAAACGTCCATGGCGGCGCGGATTGGCCGCGGCTCTCCCTCGGTCCCGCCCCCAAGGGCGGTGCAGCCAATCGGAGCTCGGCACAGCGCGAGGCGGAGCGCGGTGGCCTCGGGCGTGAGGGGCAGAGGTGGCTGAGGGTGGCCGGTGGGGTGCCGCATGTACCGCGGCGCCTTGGAGCCTCCTTCACCTCCTTTTTCTCCTTCTTCGTTATAGAAACACAGAATCACTTGGGGCGGAAGACACCTCTGAGATCGTTGAGTCCCGCCTGTGACCGATCACCACCTTGTCCACCAGACCATGGCACTGATTGCCCCATCCAGTCTTTCCTTAAATACCTGCAGGGACAGCGACTCCACCAGCTCCCTGGGCAGCCCATTCCAGTAGCTAGTCACCCTTGAAGAAATTCTTCCTAATATCCAACCTAAACCTCCCTTGGTGCTGCTTAAGTTTTCTCGGAGCCTCAATCTGGTGGTGTAAACACGAGAGGGAAAGCGGAGGAGCGGTCACTGCCCCGGCGGCCAGGCCGGGTCAGCGATGGAGGCCGGCAGTGACCACAGGGCTGCGGAGCCGCCCGGGGAGGTTCTGCAGTGCCTGAGGCATGAGCCGTGTCTCATCCCGGCTCCATTCTCGGGAGGAGACTCCACATCTCCTTTAGTGTGTGTGTGTGCTGGGCTGGGAGTTGAGCAGGACCAGGGTATTTGTGAGCAGGTACTTTGCAAGTCTGCAGTTCCTGCTATTTCACAGCGGAAATGCTGTGAGAAACGCGATCTCTGGACACCTGCTGCCCACTGTTGCTTCTGCTTGTACTATAGAAGCTTCTCCTGTGTATTTTTATCTTGCCTTAAAATCAGGAGGTTAAACAAAAGTTAAACTGTTGCTTTGTGCCGTTTTTAAAAGGGTGAGCAATATGACCCAAGCAACTGGTTAGCTTAATAGTTACCCTAACCAAAACAGAAAATCTGATGTGGAATTCAAATAATAAAAAGTTGAAACAAAGGCATATGATGCAGATCTACTGTGTTTTAGTTAAAATATCTATCAATACTGTTTTGAGGAGTACTTGACTTGGTGCTGTGTGATAGTCTCATTATACAACGCCAACAAACCTTAAAAATGGAATTTGCTGCCATGTCTCAAGAAGAAATCTGTATGATGACTTAGTTGAAAGAGATGGTGTCTAAAAAGGTCCTAGTAGCAGGTTCCATGTCCTGCTACATTTTTAGCAATGATCTGGAAGCAGATCCAAACCTACTGCTGCAAAAATTCAGCTCCAGAATTAATGGAATTGTAAATAATGATGAGGATGGGGCACTGGTCAATACAGTTTATACAGGCAGCTTGTTCAAATCTAGTGAATTTTTGTTCATCAAACCAAATAGCTGTCTATCCTAAAACCCAACTGTGGAGAACATAACTGGAAAATAGAAGACTCTGAAGCTAATGACTTTGAGAAGGATTTAAGGGTCAGATAAGTAAACAATCAGATAAGGGCTCTCCTATGCTGCTATGGTAGAAAAGGATTAATCAATGTATAAACAAAGGAATTAGAAAGTGTTTATTTTACCTCTCATGTTTGACCTCAATAATATCATCACAGGGTAGTGCAGACAGTGCTGGTTTTCAGATTTTAAGAAGCACACTGGAAAATAAGAGAGAGCAAAAAAATGAAGCAAAATGTTCTAGTGGTTGGAGAAAATGCCTTACACTGGAATGTTTTAAGAGCTCAGGCTGTTAAAGTTATCTGGAAGAGAATTGACTTGATTGGTGGTGACCTGATTGTAGTGTATAGGAACATTCCTGAGGGGAAATACAGGATATTAAAGGGTTCTTTAATCTATTGAAGAAAGGCATAATAAGAAGTAAAGACCAGAGGCAAAAGCCAGAAAAATTCAAATAGGAAATAAGACACACATTTTTCCATGGTTAACCACCAGAACACATTCACAAGAGAAGATGAGGATTTGCCGTCATTTCATGTCTTCTGTTGAAGATTAGATATATTTCTGAAAATTAGTTTATAGCCAAGCAGAAGTTATGCTTTATTTTATTGGATGAATGCTGGTTGAAATCTGATGGCCCATGATAAGCACAGCATCAAGTTGATCTCCTGGGACCATTGTGTTTCAAATTCTAAGTGCCAGAAGCAGACATTTCATTTATTACCATGAACATTAGAATCAATTCTTTTTTGCCTTGAAATACCTATGCACCATAAAAAAGCTGATTTGAATTAAGATTTTAGCTGCAGAATATATTTACTAAGAATATATCGAAAGGTTTTGGCCTTTCCCTTCTTAAATTTACACTCTTGGGATTACTTGGGAAAATTTCTTTAATTTTAATTTAAATCTCTGAAGGACTATATCCTTGCAAGAAAATTCATTTGGTGCATTCTGATTCTCTTGAATTGCCTTGAGGCAATTTTACATATTTGATGTTCACATTATGAAATATTTCTTGTGGGATTATTATGCAGAGTGCTCAGGTAACTGCACCAAATGAATCTTGATAGATTTCCTATATTGTACATTATGTATATTTGTATGTGACATATGTTTTCATCATACAGCCTTAACCTCACTTGAGGCATCATATTACCAAAAGAGGAGCTGCTGTTACTGAAAGAAGAATGAATAAAATAAAAATAAGATTTCAGATCAGTAGCTTGGCAGAGAAACATGAAAAAATCCACCCCTGAAATGGTACATGATGAATTTTTCTGTCTTGAGACTGAAAAGGTGTGCTGTCATTTCTCTGCCTTCTGAGAAATGCTAATCCTGCAAGATGCATGTGCTTCCTAATTTACATGCTTCCCTGGCTCTTGGGCAGAAAATGCAAAGACAGGAGCTGAAAAACAAGCTGCTGCCT